GTTGACCTAGCTAATCCACTCCTCAAACTGAGCGCCCATCATCCCAAAATACAGACACTTCCGTGACAACATTGAAAATTGCATCTACATGTGCCTGTACGAAGATAGGACAGTCTGTGCTTGGGAGGGCCTTGCTGAGCTGTAGGGAGGATGAGGGCTCGCCTTTCAGGTGGGTCTCCATGCACCACTGGGCCGGCTGTTTCAGGAGGCGCGTTGTGGTTTTAGGGGTGTAGAGTTAGGATTTCGGTTGAGCTTCATATTGGAGTTTCTAAAAACTATCGGGGCAAATCCGACACTGCTTTCAGCTTTGCTTTCTCCCCGGTCGCTCAGCTTTGAGAGAAATCTTGAAGGCTGTACAGAGCCCACAGTACAAGGGCCTTTTTTGAGATGAGATAAGACCTTGTAGCTGCCTGTCTTTTTTGAATCATAACCCAGACCCCTGATTAATAAACCTCATCCCCTTAATAGGAATTATCATCGGGATCCTGATGTTTAGGCCTTTCACAAGGAGGGGAGTTATTCATCATGGGCCTACATTTGTCAGATTTCAGCTGGTATACACACAGAACAGTGGCACTCTATCCTTGGGAAGACCTACTATATGCGCAAGGACAAGTTTATATCCACAGTGTGCCCTGCAGCATGATGCTTGGAAAATGTGCATCCGGATCGATTCCACATAAACACGTGTTGTAACCCTCAAATGTGTGTTCAGAGATATCTCGGAACACCACCCCACCCTAACATCAGTTATTTGACATAAGCACATGCACATCCGTATGCATGCGTGCGTGTGTATATATATATATGCATATATATATATAGATCAATATTTGTACACATATTATATGTAAGCCGTGAGCGTATGTATATACATATAAGATTAAGTTGAAGGTCAAGTCTTAAGCCTTTCGGTCCCAGCTGAGCGTGGAGGAGTTGAGGAGGACCCTTTGAGACATGTGAGACGGACCATGCAGGAAACAACCTACGCCCTAAACCCTGAACCCCCTAACCCCAACAACCTTAAACCCCACGCTGAACCCTTGTTAAACAGACATGTCTGGCCATACTGGTTTCCGTTCGTTTTCCCGTTAAGATAAGAAAGATCATGCATGCTGCTATGTTATACAAAGATGATGTATATATTGTTCCGAATTGTAGCAGCGGGTGGAATCACGTGGGGGCTTAGTTGGTCAAACGTCCTTGATTTACCACGCTGTGCCTCGTTCGCGGACCGAGAGACTTTGTAAGGAATCTAATTTCAAACTGACTAAACCCTAGACCCTGCCTGCATCTACCTATACCCCAATTAGGTGCCACATACCCGTATTCAAGCGTAGAAGGAGGGTCCTGGTAAACCCTAGACCTTAACCCACATATTTGCTCAGGTCACGGAGACACAGGCAGACCTCCGCGCAAGGCCCGGTCGGCTGTAAAAGGTCCTCTATATTATGTTTAGGGTTAAGGGTTGTTTGGCTCAGGGACTGTTGCTATTATCCTTGTTCTGACATGATTACCATGATTTATGTTCGTATGGTTCCTAGAATCAGAGCCAAATCCAGGTCTGAAAGTGCCGCTTAGAATCCATCACGCATTGGAGAAGTCCAGGCATGCCCGTATTCTCCTTGTGTAGCCCTTACAGTGAGGCCCTATGCAGGTTCCTGTGGGTTTGGGTTTTAGGGTGTGTACCCATGAGCCCTGGTTTGAACTTCATAACCACCCGCCCAACCCAAACATCCGAAGATACACGTGAAATCAATGCGGCACAAAGAGTTCAAACCGATTCAAACGGATCAAATCGTAGAATGAGCTTCTGCGCGGAGAAATCTTCGCCATATCATGTTTTTAGAAAAGTTTCGTACGCGTACCCCCTGCAGAGCTCAATTCCAAAGCAGGTGGCGACTGCACCAAGATTTTCAGCTTCACCTCTGCAGGGCCTGCAATGTGCCCTGGCAAAGGAAGCAATCTTTCTTTGGTTCTTATAACAAGTACTTATGCTATTTGTACTTTTCTTGCTGTGACTACCATCCAGTTCTAGTTGTCATTGCTCTTACTATTGATACTACTATTCTGGCCGAGCGATCTTTTGCGCAACCTGTTTTGACAGTGAAGCTTGCTTGCCAAGACAATCCTGCATGATTTTATGAACAATTCATCGATGTCTTGGGCTTCGCAGGGGACCTTAGGTATGTGGTCACCAGTGGGTTTTCTTGGCAAGGCTCAGTTGGAAAACTAGGACGCCGGAATGGTTCCTTGTGCTTGACTCTTTCCGGCGTTGTTCTTGGGGACTCTTCCCTGAAACCTGTCAAGGAAGAGGCGTGCCAGATAGGGGGGTGAGGCATATTCGGCAGTTTTTTGGACTCATCACTCAGCGTATTCCAGATCGAGAACAATTCTTGACAGTGTTGATTAGCGGGAGCTTTCCCCATGGACTCGAACGAGAGCCCTTGCGACATTTGTGGGGATCTCGTGGGGGCCCTGTGTATTGGAGATGATGATGCTTCAGGGCTACATTGTGTGAGTTGGAGGCTGGAAAGCAACATGGAACACTGGGCCTGACAGGTGTCGTTTCGTGATCTTCCGCTGGTGTTGCTGGTGTATGTTGCTAACGAAGGGCATTCATGTTGAAGCAAGCCGGTGATTTCCTGGGGACACCTGCCTGCCAGCCACTCAGGATCAGCGGCCCTTCCTGCGATTGCCATGAGAGTTTATGAAGAGTTACTATGCTAGATACGCCCAGCTTCCTTTCTATTTTCCATTTGATTCTTCATTACTGTGGTAATATCCTTATATGTATATAGTCCCAATATAATTTGACTCAGGGAAACTTGCAGTTCAGATGCGTTGTCACGAAAACGCAGCCACTGTACATTTGTTCATAATGTGTTATCGTTGGCGCCTCAACCCCATGCGGAATTCACACGGCGTTAGTAGCCTCATATGTACGACAACGATGATACTCTCCGCCTCCGCTCTGATCCGCTTGTTTTGTTTGTATTCTCCGACATTGGTAAACTCAAGCGCTTGTGCTGCAGGAGTATGTGAAGATAAGATCTGAGTTCAAAGGCAGGCATTTCGTTGTTTTTCGGGTTCGGTTTTACCAGGACTATGAGATCAGGTGAGGTGTAGAAGCATGCCACAAAATTGAGATATACCTTCCAGATTTACCTTGAGATGATGAGAACCTAGCCGCTGTGAATGACAGCCTTCTACACCGGATGCTTTAACTTCCTTCAGCCGTCGGACATCTATACTCTAGACCCCAAAGCAGTTTTCAAATTCAAGCCCAAGCCCGCAACCTGAAATCGGAGAATTTTGGGCAGCGCACGCAGCTTGGATAGGTTTGGGCTGAAAGTAGTTGAACGAGCATGACACGCGGCTTTGCAGACTTGCACAATGTAGTAGCCTAGTGGCTTTGTGCGGAGGTGTTACGTAGCATATGACAACTCTTCGAGATGCTTCCAGCCTATCTGAATGCATGGCTACCACGTGGCATGAATGCTGCGACGTGGAAACAGATCCATGATGCATTCACAACAGATTTTGTACCTTGTCGAAGGTTCTTTCTTGGAATTAAACTGCGAGATGCAATGTACAACCGCTATTGACAAACCTTTGTGAGAACGCGCGGCGCGCACCTTTACCTACATTTGTCCAGACACCAGCACATGCCCATCGTGAGAGTTCTTGAGTCTCATGATTAAAAAGTTCGGAGGACACAGCATTCGTTGCCACTTTAATTCGAAGCCCGTGCTTGACCAGGACACCTTAGGGCCAACATGACTCACCAGCCATTTCCTACTCCAGGCACCTACATATGTGCGTCACACCAACATACGCCCTGCCCTTCACTAGGCTACGTGAGAAGTTGTCCAAGTGCGTGACCTATCTTGCCAGCACGAAGTGTCACATGCCGAATAAAAAGCAACCCAGAGGGGACTTGAGTGAAGCCAATGAGGGAGAAATCAGGGGTCATACAAGGTTTTGCAGAATTATGGGTATACCAGGGACCCTAGCGATATGGAGGGGATCACGGCGATGTACAAAGGATGACAAGTGTCCCCGCTAAGGAGGTAACTTCGAGAAATTCCCGATTTCATGATGTCGGTTGGCTACCAGGAATCGTTACGCCCAGAAGGAAGATGTTGGCGGGTGTTCCTTATTGCAACACGCCGGACAGGAGTGTGCAGTGGACAAAGAAAAATGAGTGAAATGCAAAGCTGTGCGGAGGGCAGCCTAGTGCAGCTGAATCGTGATCATGCGAAGAATTCCTGTTTTGCCACGCACATGCATTCCAGCTTGATGGAGTCTGTTGAGTCTAGTATCTTTCCCAGACGTTTCTCTTCGACAATGCAACCTAACACCAAGACCTAACATTTTGAAGCAAGCTTCGCTGGTTTTGGTTGAGGCGGGCTCTTGTGGAGTCAAAGTGGCAGAGCAGCAACGGCAGTAGGATCATTTCCAACAGCATTCGGACAGCAAGGAAAAGGCAGCCAAAATGTTCACTGGAATGAGCGCTAACCCGCAAACTCTTAACCTCTTACAGCGCACTCGCCTGCCGAAGCAGATCTTTTCGCTCCAGCCATGGCGACGCGACGTCTTCAGGAGCTGTTCGTGCCTTGGCTGCAAGGGGCTGCGCAGATGCTTCGGCGTTGGGCGACTGTGGGCATTGGCGTCAAGCCAGTGTGACCTCGGCATTGCTACTACTATGTCAGCAGCGTCCTATCTGCTCGTTGTTTCTGATTGTTACCTTGGTTGATCGGCTTGTGGTTCTGCGCACTGTTCTCCATCCTCATGCCACTATGACTATGACAGAACCATTGTTGGAACATCTCGTAGCCCAGACATCTGCGCAAGATGTCGTCACAAATAGTTGTGGCTGGCTTTTACAATGGACCCTTGGTTAGCAGACTGTCCTTACTCAGTTTCTACATAGGTACCAGAATTAGAGCACGGTCTAAGGCCATGACGCCAGGTCTTGTGGTTGAAGCTTTCCTGAGGCAAAGTACGACAGCTCCGGCGATGGCGTCCTTCAGGAAGAGGACGCTGGCATGTTCGGCTCCTTAGGCTGCCCGTGATTAATATCATTATTACTATTATTACTATTAATATCATTATTGTTATTACTATTACTATTATTATTATTGCTATTAATATTATTATTACTATTACTATTACTAGTATTATTACTACTACTATTAGTGCAGGTGTAAATGATGACAAACACCCTCTCTGTCCCTTGAAAGTCGGGCATATTCACCTGTGCGCGTACTAGAGAAGCCTGAGATTGCAACACATACCTGATATCTTTCCGCACAAACGCCGTTTAGAACAACAAGTGTAGCCCAGCTAAAACACATGTTCTTCTTACTGAGACCTGGAAGCTTTTCGGAACAGACCATGCTTGGCGGCTTCTGCCTACTTCGAAGCAGTGATACAGATAGAGCAGCTGCACTGATAGAACCTATATGACCATACTTATAACAAGTAAGTGCACAACACCAAACTCTTAAAGCAGGGGTCATGCCTTGAGCGGTGAGTATATACATTTTCCAAGCTAGGCCAACATGCGTTTATGCGTTCAAGCATGGATTGAAGATGAGATGACGACTTGCAGGTGCCAATAGGGGTGCCCTGAACCCCTAAACCACAAAGATAAGCCCCTAAGCCTAACCCTGAACCACTAAACGCAGATGGTACTGGGAAGGCAGTAGTGAAGCAGGCCAAAATCCAGTCCGATGACATGTGCCAGATCAAGCTCGCAAGTATAGCTTTTCACGGAAACTCTTCCCAAAAACCTCAAGAGAGACTGAGGCCCGTACCTGGACCCCTAAAGTGTGCAAAATGATGGCTCTTTGGGCTGTTTTAAGGGTTTAAGGACATTTTTGTTTACTTGCTTTGGGGGGTTTAATTAGAATCCTGTAAAAGGACTCCAGGGTTCTACCCCTATCATCAAACCCCCAGGTGAAGACGAATCAACGCAACCTACTACCCCAACTGTCCCTAGGGCTCCAGTTACCTAAATAATGGGAACTGGGTACTATATTCCATATAGTTACATAGCCCAGGAACCTACTATTGAGATAATTGGGAGCCCAAACTGTGCGGCAGGAGATGAAGCTGCTTTTCGAGAAGTTGGGTCTCAAGAAGAAGGAAGCGTCTGCTTGAAAGGGTGTGGTTGTTCGGGTTCAGTGCTGCGATGCATTTGATGACCTCTCAAGCGGTCGTGTCCACATTAAGCCCAAGAAATCGAGACATGAAACTAGGATGATTCATGCTACTGCTTCCTCTTTCTCAGTTCGGGGCGGGGGAATGCCATAAATTTTGCCCAAGATCCATAATATAGTAGTTTTCATTGTCCTTTCCATTATTCCTATATACCCCCTAATGTACCATAAGATACTTTGTATACTATCATATGCTATCATATACTGTAATATTCCTAGATGTGCCACGCTTTGTTCGCTTCTACGGTAATGTTGTGCGCGGCCCACGCCTTGACTTGACGGGAATCAGTTCTGGGTCATAAGGCCCCAAGTGTCATAAGGACCCAAAAAAGTAGGGTTTTAGGGCCCAATACCATGGATATTGTAGTATTTGGGTTCTATTTGGGTCCTTGGACCTTTAAGGGATGGTTCAGGGCTTTACCGTTCGGGTTATTGCTTCAGATAAGGCTGTATGATGCTGAAATTGGATTTGTGGTTTAGGAGTTCTTGTTTCTCGTATCTGGAGGGTTTGTATCAAAAGGCTACATGGGACCATCTAGTCTCTGTGATGAGTGTAAGGATTTTCATTACAGAGCTGAGCTATGGGTGCCAGTTGTTCATCCCTTTGTGAGCATTGTTCGCTTGTAGTGCTGGTCTTCGCCCATTATGAGAACTCTTCTCCGAAGCATTCTCTCCTAGGTTAGGGACTTGCTGAAGGTCTAAGCTTGGGGCCTCAAAGGCAGATGTAGGCTGATCCATGGTAAGTCTACCCTATTGGAAGTCCTTACACAGACTGCGGGGTCTCAAAACAGGGCTCTACAGAAGCGTATGGGTATGATAGCAAGGGTAGATCACCCCAAAGGGTCCATGTAGCTATATAGTATATACTTAGGGCCCGATGGGGTTCCTGTATAACTACTTTGGGGCCCAAGTAGATACCATATGGCTACATGGACCCTTTGGGCATGTTCCTCTCTTGGGATTGTAGCCTTCATGCGAGCCCCTTGCGAAAGGAGTGCAAGGTTGTTACGCTTTGCATCTTGGGGATGGCTTGTCTGTATAGTATGTTACAGTATATTATAGTATATTAGGGGTTATATAGGGATAATGGAAAAGAAAACGGAAACTACTATTTAGGGTTTAAGGTTCTGGAGGCTTCCCTTCAGGAAAGGAGCTCATACTGGAGACAATCAGTAAGTTTTTGGTCTCGTTCAAAGAACGGAAAGTCACGCTCATATTGCTGCCCAGACAGCGAAAGTCCTAAATGATAGGCCCCATTTGCTGGAAATATTTTGAGCGTGCCACCACATGCCACTCCAGAGCCCAACTGCTCCTGAGCTTTCTTAGCCTTACTCACATGATGCACCCAGACTTTTACCCAAACTTCCAAAGTAGTTACAATAATGGCCCAAACAAAGATCCTACATATAGCCCAAAAGGCCATTATTCTACATATTTTGCGGTCCTGGTAACACTTTCCAGAAGGATTGCGAACTAGGCATGTCTGATTGGGTGCCACACGGTCGCCATGTGCGCGACCCCGTTCAGTGAAACTTCGTGTCCATGAACCTCCAGCTTTTACGCGCAGACTATGTGCTTTTTTAGCAGCCATGGAAGGAAATCAGCGAACTCTTCGAAGCTGCTGATGCGAGTCTCGGGCTAGCTTATCCGGATTTCGCGTCATGGATAGATGCTTCCCATATCTGGGGCTGCTTCGGAGTTCTCAGGCCCCTGTAGCAGGAATACGCGTTGTTGCAAAAGGCCCGGGGCCCCAATTATGACGCACAAAGTCGGCTCCCGGAACCAGAGATCTAAGACCGAGTTCTGGAAGCAAAGCAATATGTTGAAAAGGACGTTCAGTTTGCCACGTTGTACACCAACTACAGCAGGCTCATTGCCTAGAGATGTGTACCCGACTCTTTGCCCGGCTTGCACATTTTGATTCTACTGGTCCGGTGTAGAACCTCAGTTGCCCGACCTGCATGCGCTTCGACCTTGGCGAGAGTGCGATTTTCCAGGATCAGCGACGGCAACTACGTACAGGCACGATGAACTCGTGCGGGCCTGGACTCCCTGGAGATTTGTATGCAAGTCGCCACACCGCCCTAAACAGACCGCAGTCATGTGTGTCGCGACGGAAGGCGCACTACAACGACCCTGCGGCGACAGCATGAGCACAGATGCTAGACCCAAAGGGTGCATGTAGCCATACAGGACATACTTAGGCCCCAAAGTAGTAACTTCGAAACCCCCTTGGGCCCTAAGTATATACTGTATAGCGACATGGGCCCTTTGGGAGAGCGAGGGGTCTGGCTTCGGTCGTGGCCGCGAATGCCGCGAACCACAAAAGCCTCCTACTACTGCTCAGACGTTTTTGTTCGGGGAATGTGGGCGTGCATATGTACATATCCCGAAGGGTCCATGTAGCTATATGGTATATACTTAGGGCCCAAAGGGGTTCCCATATAGCTACTTTAGGGCCCCAGTATATACTATATTGCTGCATGGACCCTTTGGGTATATAATCGTGCCTAGCTAGCTTTTTGGAGGGCAGAAGGCAAATAGGGATCCGGCAAAGGGAATCTTTAAATCATGCAAGTCCCACGTTTCCGGGTAGTACAATTCCATAGCCCTAGCCGAAGTGATTAGTAAATTGCAATTAAAGCTTCGTCATCCTAATCCAAAGAGTCCAATGTACGCAGTATTGCTAGACTTCCGAGGCCAAAGTAGGTGATGGTTTTATAGAGTTCAGGGTAAGTTTAGCTGGAATGACATGGATGCTACGGACATGGTCCGAGGGTCTTTCTGCGTGGGAGTACAGGACATGCCATGCCATGAAGGACTATGCTCTGGGAAGTTGTCACTCATTTCTGTTCCTATTGTTCAGAAACCGCGGACGCATGACATGATTTCTCCCGAGCGTCTTTCTTGTCTCAGATGTGCGGCACATTTCGTGGTGCCCTTTCATGCACATTATTTCTTTTCCTCTTGCTCTGGTATTGGTGGCATGCAGCCCTCAAGTACGTGGATATTTCCGACTTTGGAATTCTAGCCTATACAGACTGGTGGTCTCTCTCATTATTGGTGCATATGGGTGTTCTCAGGTTTTACGTTAATTTAGGAATCGGTCTAGGTCATATGGAGATGATCCCACTTCTCAGCTTGAGGTAGCTCTCTGTTATGGCATGTGCATTATGCGGAAATTATGTTACCTCCAAGTTGGGGACCTTCAGGATGCAGTGCCATAGTGAGTGTGTGAGAGCGGGAGAGGGAATAGAGTGCGGTAGAATCTGCCTACAGAAGCCCCAAACCCTAAGTGCAGCTGTGGCTCTTGAATTCCCGGGCGGCAAGGAACAAAGATGGAGTGGTCCAAGTCCATGAGTTCATCTCGTGGCTACTAAAAAACTCGCCACAGGCCAGGTGCCCAAGAGGAGATTCAGCAGTGGCAACATCAGAGGGCAACCTTGGAATTCCAGATGTACTTTAAGATATGAAGAGTTGTCAAAACTAGCTAACCTGGGCCCTCAAAATCTATATGAATGTACATGGCGATATTCGGATGGGTCTCTTGCATGGGTTGGCTTGTAGCTCTGCATAGGAGCCCGAATATGACCAGCGTTATCCGGTAGAATCCTTGAGTATCCGTATTTCAAACAACCAGAAATGCACGGAGCCGCTCACATAATTCTTAGTAACGGAATCAGACGGGCATGTGCCAAGGTTAGAGGTTTGGGAAGCTCCTAAGGACCCTCTATGTAGGCCAATGCCCGACATTCTTTCCCCCATCCCTGTTCGATTTTGCACGAAACCGTACTGGCGCGCGCGTCTTGGCGAGGTTTCATATGTTCAGACAAAGAAGGGCGTGGATGTCACCATCACCAACACCACCAAACATGGAGACTCGGCTGGATAGCCAAGTTTTCAACGGAAAAGGGGCTGCTTGAGCAGACAATGTTCAATACTTGTTCAGGCCCCGGGTACCCTCAAGGTAGCTAATTGAAAAAACCTCGATTTGGGATTTCCGCAAATTAGGGGCTGTTCTTGACGAGTTCCTAAACCAAAGATTATGGCATGTTGGGGGCTAGTCTGGCCGATTATTTCATGGACTCCTTCTTTTAGGCAGCCTGATCGCAAATTGTGTTTGAGATATACATGATGTGCTGATGTGTGCGCAGAAACACTTCTTCGCAGGCTCCCCCACGAGATGTCATAAAGATTCCGCTAAACACACGCTCTCTCCCTTATCCCCCTGACTTATCAACCTTCTAATGCCCAAAAACAGTCTCCTCAGAGTCCTGAATTGTGGCAACCGAGGAAAAGTTCGCTCTAATCCCCAAGTGCTCACTGAGTATACAGCAAACAGGCCCCACAGTAGCTACTTGCGCGTGCGTGCAATTTTAGGGTGCCGGTTCGAGTTGTGGCATTGCTTGCACCTGATGACTTCATGTTTGCTGAACAGCTTGACTTGATCCTTCTCGTGCACCCGTCATGCCAGTACTCGCTAGATTACCCTGGGGCTGAATGTTTACAAAGGTTACCCACATTGCGCCACAAAGTCTATAAATAGTAATTACATTGGGCCACATGAGCCATAAGCTAAACTCCTCGTATTCCCCATTAATAATCCATACAGTAGTCCCCTATCTATTTCCTCACTCATATAATGAAAGCCCCTTTTAAGGAGTTTGATTATGGCTCATATGGAGCCTCAGGGTTATCGTGCACAGTAACAGAAAGAGGTGGTCGAAGCTTACTGGTCACTGATGTCGCTCCCTCAAAATTATAAACAGTTGTGATCTGAAGTTGGTGGAAAAATGTGCAAAACAACTCCACCCGAAGCAGTCAGGGACAGAAGTCACTTTGTTTTGCACACCCGTAGCCTGGCACCGGTCCCAGGAAAGCAGTTCACACTCAGCTTCAAGAAGTGCAAGCGCCTTGCTGAAACCCGAACCCCTAAACACTAAACCCTAAACCTGCGTTTAGATTCCGGTTTCCGCTTTCAGCTTGCAGGAATAGGGTCTCCTTGTGAATCTCTACTTCGACATATGAGCCATAATCTAAATTTTTGAAAGTGCTTATGCAAGGGATTGTATAGGGGAGCATTATAGGGGTTATCAAGGGGGCTACTAGGAATTTAGACTATGGCTCATATAAGCTGTGGCAATTTAAAGGCATATTCAGGTCGATTTCCATAGCTATATATGATTCCTGCAAGCCGCTGTCACGCTTGTGAGGGTTTGTACATTTGAAGGATTCCGTTCGTACTTCCCAGCGCTCAGCGCCTTGGGGTGCATAGTAACAAGTAGACCATGCTTGCTACGCTCTTCCCCCGAGGTGCATAGACAGTGTCTAAAAGATGCCTGAAAGTCAATATGGTAGTGGGCAGTGGCCGACATATACCCGTAGAAGATTTGTTCAACGCTGCATCTTACAAACTGTTAGGGATCCTTTGCTTAGATAGGAGCTTCCGAGATTCGACTGTTACCTCTGAGACACGTAAAGAACGTGCTGAATGTGCTTATCAGGCCAACATTGCCTTCTTGCATGAGTTTACCATTAAAATCGGCTTCAGACAACCGAAAGCCGCCCAACCAACAAAGCGGGAACCCACAAACATAGCAGTCTCAATAGATGCTGTTGGGTATCTGGGGTTTGTATGTTTCTCGTTTTGTTGGATCAGTACTTCCAGAAATCAGAGTCAGTAAGGAGGAATAGACCCAGTGTTTTCATTTCGATTCTTTTTAGAACCCGGGTGCAAATAAGAGTAGGGGACGACAGCTAGTCCCATTAGCCCATCCTCATAAGATTCCTGCCGAAGCTCTCTCTAAGTCTCTATTCGAGGGTCACAATTCCTGCCTGTGCTAGCCAGGCCAATGAACATGCACTTTAAAGCACTCCGCGTCCTCCGCATCCTTCAACTAGTCAAGTGGGACAAAACCTTCTTCTTGGTGAATGTATCACTTTTCGGTGTCGGGGCCAAAGGCACATAATATACTCAAGCGGCCACATGTCCTGAGGAATGTAACATTTCCAGAGGGCAACCCGGCTACCTTCGTGCTTTCGCCGGGGGAAACCTTGCTGGCATCAAGAGCTTTGGGCTAGTGCTCAGTGACTTCTACACAGGAAGTTGCAGGCGGAATAGCACATGCTAGATCATCCGAATCTGTGTACGCTAGGACTCAAGAGTGACAGCCTTCTTGTGACAAATGTTCCTATAGATCACAACTTCGCTCGCCGAGGTTTGGATGTTATCGTTTGTGCGAGGGATGGACTGAGGGTCTGAAAGCTGCAAAGAATCAACGTCAGTCTTCATGGCGGCGTCATAGCGTTTCCTGCTGCAACAGACAACGCCCTTGTGTTTCTAGTCCCCGGCACTTTCTCCAGCTGATCCCGTCCCCGTGCCTTTGCTCGTAGAAGTGAATGCAGCTCAAGTGATGACGCAATTGTGACGAAGCCTGGCAAGAGAAAGGCACTTAGTAGCAGGTAGGAACCGTCCTAAATGTTGGTCACTACATAGGCTGCATGGCGCAAATCAGAGAAGGAAGCTGCAGACGTACATCCGCGAAGTTGCTAAACATGTTTGAGGGGCTCTTGGGTGCAGATGTTGGCTGGACTTTTTGAGCGAGGTCGGATGCCATATTAAGTTTGGCACCCAGTCTTGGGGTGTACACATGTGGAAGCCTGATCTCGAAAACTACATTAATCGTGTAGTTTTCATACCGTGGGGGCACTATGAATTGCAGGTAAATGTAGTGACGCGGATACCGTACATGATTTCAATGCTTTAGGGTTTGGGGCTCGGGGTTGCAGCCTGCAAGGAAAGGATTGTTAGACTACATACCGGGCCCACTGAACGAGACTAATTCAAGATTGAAAAGCTGGAGCTAGCAACCGTATTGCTTACTAGGGAAACCAAGAATGTGAAGCAGATGATCCGTCTCCTCCCCCCCCAGCTTAACAAAAGTGGGACATCCTCTTCCCTAAACGGTAGCCCTACACTTCCCTAGGCCCCAGACCTTACAAGCAGGGCCTAACCCCAAACCCTCCAAACCCATAGTGGCCCAGGAGCAGATCACGAAGACCGTCTGCCTCATCGAGGAGGTGGGAACAGCCTGGAGGTGCCATTTTGCAAAGCTCCCGTAGGGTTTGGGGTTTAGGGGTTATATTGGGGTTATATAAAGGGGTTGTATTGGGGTTATTTAGGGGTTGTGTTGTGGTTTGATAGAAGTATATTATAGAGGGGCTACACCCTTAAACCCTTATATTCGTGTTATTTTGGGATAATCGAAAATAAAGTGGAAACTATTTAGGGTTGAGGGTTTAGGGCCGTTTAGGGTAGGGGTGTAGGGTTTCAGGTTGAGATAGGGTTCAGGGCTTAAGGTTTACAAGCTCCAATGGATTACAACTTGGACTGCAGGTGCAACTCCTGTGCAATCCCCCAAGATAACTTCAGTTGTAATCCTACAAGACCTTGTCCGAATGGTTTAGGACAGGACAGGGTTCGGATACGGAGTGTAGGTATGCATAGTGTAGCTCCGGCAAGATCCTGAATCATACGCCTGGCAGCCCTAGCATCTACAATGTTCCACGGACTTTGTCTTCACATTGAGGAATGTCCATGAATAATTCCTCAAGGGACCTGATTATCACCCTTCATGATATGAGCTACATATATATATACACACACATATATATATAGTCTAAACTCCTAGTATCCCCCTTGATCAGCCCTATAAGAGGAAGCCTGGAGAATCCCTATATGATCCCCTTCAAGGAATCTAGACTATAGCTGATATTGCATACATATCCTACGCAATTTCGGTGGACCCATATCATCAAAGCCCCATTAACTTAATCATACACATGCTGTGACAAGCCAGGCGGGAAGGAGACAAGCATAATCTTGCAACCCCAAACTCGGAACCCCTTAAGGGTACTGTGAGGCCTAGGTAATGTTTTATATTGCGGTCCTAGACCTAGATTCCTTGTACAATCATGGTATACAGTACCTCAAATGGACTTAATGAAATTGGTTTAGGGTTTAGGGTTTAGGGTCAAGTATGGTATACAGTACCTCAAATAGACTTAATGAAGTTGGTGTTTTTTTCAGCCCCCTGTATTACCGCCACCATGTGCATCAGGGGGACTGCAGTGGCTCAGGTGGAACTCAAGCTGGGCCTCCCGTGGTTGCTACATTGCCGCGGAGGCATCTCTGCCGTGGAATGGGCCTCGGCTTTGGCCTGCACGCCGCCAGTTTGGTTAAGTTAAGCTCAGGTGCGCCCTAAGCGCAGCGAGTAATGGATATCTGGGACACGGGTCAATTATTGTCTTGAAGCTCTTAGAGCATAGGGGTTAGATTTGTTTGTATGAAACTTGGGCCTTGATCAAATGGTTTGTAAGGACAACGTGTCAGCATGTAAGATCAGGTGCAACAACAAGGGACCTTCAAAGGGCAGGACCAGAGAGGCCACAAGAGTGACCCACCCACCTCAGTCAGTGGGCTCTAAGACATGATAGCCTGCTCCAACGATTCTTCCGATACATCCTTATCCACCACACTCGGAACTTCCAAGCTGCAGCGCACTCTCGCCCAGTTGTCATGGCAGGGGCTGAAGTAGAGAACTAGGCAACCATGAATTTCTGAGCAGGATGCCCGCAGAAATACGCCATTACTGTACCCTGCAACAGGGCTGCGTACTAGGACGACCCCCAACATCAGCTGAGTAACGACGACCCGCCGTCTTTCCTCCATTTGTACTTATCACGAGCCCTCAAAATGCAGGACTGAATGCAGAAGCCAACGCGCACTATATGGTATTGCCCAATGCCATTCAATGAGCTTCGTAATCTGCAAAGCGACAAAGATCCATCTCAATCCTTCGCCACATCATCAGTCAAAACCCTTTACAAGCAGAAGCTTGCCGAGCAAGAGTTGTTGTTGTTGGCCTGCCTGTCCATGACTGGGGATATAGGCTCATGGGAAAAGCGTATGACGTCAGCATTTTCCCCAACTAGCCTGAAGTTTAGTAAGGATTGGTACAAACACGCAACACCTTTGACGGCAAGCGCGCTCATCTGGTGCTGATGCCCCCGCCTTCCACCTGGGTAGTTCCCAAAATTAGGGTCCCATTTTGGTACCCAAAAATATGTGGTGCTGTAATACATTTTACGCCTAAAAGGTGCCCATCAGTTTGAGAACAACTCACCTATGGGTCTTTATCTTATCCGTGTGGGTCCCTAGTGCTAGTCGCCGCCTGGCGCTGTATTCCATGGAGGACGACCCCAACGCTTTCAAAGATGCCAACTTTCCATGCGACGGCTCCAGCATCGGGACCCCGCTTCTGTTTGCGTAGCTAAATAGTGCGTACTGCACTGACTTGGAAACTGTGGATCCTGCCTTGTTTTCCGAGTTTTGAAGCCACGGATGGAGGGTGACAGGACTTTCAGGTTTCGGGTTGGCTCATCACTACACCGACCACTGCAAAGATAGGGGTTTGTACTGATATCTTCATGGCTGACAGAAATCACCCAAAGGGTCCATGTAGCTACATGGCAGATACTGGGGCCTTAAAGTAGGTACATGGGAACCCCTTTGGGCCCTGACTATATGGTAGTTTCCCATACGTATAGACCCCAAAATACCTTAATCCTTATTATAGGAACGCCCAAAAAAGGTACCCCATAATTTGGGGAAACCCTAAACCTTGTATCTCCACCATCTGACCCTAAACAAACATCTGAATGAGCCTAATTATATACCACATACCGACATGGACCCGTCAGATGTGGCACCAGGAGCAGCACTTCACAATGGTCAGTCGGCAAACCCGTGGCTTGGCAATGCCGTTGAATGGAGATAGACGATGCACCAGTGTCACTGGTCTCCCTAGGGATCCAAGTATACAAAGAATACCAACAACAGAGAATCACATGGAAAGAAATGGAAGATGAAATGGAACCTGGGGTCATAAAGGGGTTATTAGGGATCCAAATATACAAATAATACCTACATTGGGCCCCAAAGACTGTAGATGTTACCTACATGGGGCTATTTGGATCTCTAGGGTCCAGGTGATTATTAACAACCGGAATCCCGATTTAATTAAGTGAAATTCCAGAATTGGTGGCATGGCCACTGATTTTTACCAAGGTGTTGAGCGCTTCTGGTTTTTCTCGTTGCCGTTGCCACCAAGTTGTGTCAAATGTGTCGTGATGTTTGGCGCATGGGCCTAACTTGTGGTCGGGCGGTAGTGTCCAGATATTTTGCCAACATTTTAAAGCACAAACCACGGGCCGCTAGTATGGGCCCTTAATCCTGGGTCCTTAATGATCCTTATATATCAAGTACATACGCTAAGTGTACCCTTAAGGGCCATTAAACCCCCACTGAAAAGGGCGTATGCTCCAGAGTAAGCATACTGGGCGCCCGTACTTAAAACTTTAGAGATACAAAGATACATCTACGTGATCTGCATCTACTGCTCTATCTTAAAAGTCTATGCCCTCCGCTGACACTCAGTCTGAAAGCCACAGTAACGTGCGGACTGGACATGCTCAACATAGCATGATTTTGATCACGCCTGCAACAGCCGAGACGTTCTTGTTTGGTACGTGCGCTCAACAGTGGTGAGTTCTTGGTTTCGGGCCAGCAGATGCTTACACGAACAGGGTTAACAAGTCAAAGAGAGGGAGAGAGGGAAAGATAACATACACACCTACACAAAGACGCACACACACATACATATATATACATATAAAATACACGCACACTTAGGTATAGTAGTTGCTTGTAGGGGCAGAGTGTGGGCGCCCAACCGAAGCGAGTGGTCACTTCCCAAGAAGTTCCAAGAAGCATTGACTCTCAAACACCTACGAGGTTCCAAGTCCTGCGCCCCCATGCCCTTGCTTGCTGCAATATCTGTTCTTCTGGCGTAAATCACAGAGGCTCCATGCAGGTATATAGTATATACTTATAGGCCCTATAAGTACATATTCTATACCTACATGGACCCTTTGGGAATTATGGGGGGCGCATGGAAGTGTGCAAGGATACTTGGGTGCGAGCGCGCCTCCTGGGAGATCCCGAGACTGCGTGCCTCTTCGACCAGATTCGCCCGCAGGACCTCTAGGGTTTGGGATTACCTGCTCCCAACAACAGAATGATGGCCTTTTTGGCAGCTTTTAGGGGTTTGGGGCGACTATTTTGCTTACTTTTCGGGCTTAGAGCAGGCTGTTTCTATAGTTGCACTGCTTGGAAATCATTGAAAGGGTTAAAACTACATGGAGCATTGTAGGGACTTCCTTGTTTAAGGCCTTGGAGTTTAGATTAGGGTATAGAGCGTGGGGGCTTGAGGGTCCAGGCTGAGAATTCGAACCTGCCAAAGTCGTGGCCTTGAATCACACTGTTGGGGGGTCCAGGATAGTATACAGAGGTGCAAGGTTAGGGGGTTCGGTTGTCAACGGTAGTAGGGACCTATCAACTTGAGCTTCTTTCCACGTAGTTTTCATGATGTAGCGTACTCTGGTAACTGTCATTGGACTACATCGTGTTACCCAGACAAGCAGCTGGACACATGGACGCAATACCCTATAGATAGGAAGAGAAGATATGTACATCTGACAAGCCTGGCAGCCTGGCTTGCCAAGTACCATTACGGTCCGGCATCAGGACCCCTCAGCCCAAATCCTTATTGATAGTAAGTGGGGAATGAAAAATACCGGTTCCTTTTTGGGACCGCGCAGGGTATACTTGTTTTTAATAAACATGAGAATGTATGCAAGTACACACAAAACTTCATTCTGCCATGTTTATCCCAGTTAAGTTGTTTACTCATTGCACTTTCTTTTCGTATTCGTGTTGTTCAATTACTTCTGGGTGCAGTTCCCTTATTGCTTGCTAAGCATCATCTGAACTGATACCGTCAACCCGCTTTGGCGACCCAGTTCTCAACCAAGGGATCTTCAAACCTCATCCGCCCCCGAACAAACATGGGAGGCACAAAGGCCAATCTAACAGGATATTACTGGCCTCTGGCTAGCTAAGAGTGAAGGAATAGAAAAGAAAATGGAAACTACAAGGTCCGCGGTTGATTACCGCCCGGAAAGACAAAAAAGAAGAACATGCAGAATTTACTGGCCTGCGTGGTATTTGGAGTGCTCGCAAACATGTGAAGTTGGAAGAGGTACGGACAAAGAAGGGGTAGTTTGTGAGAGCTGTCTTGCTTGAGTTTAAAGAGGCCGTAATGTCAAAGAGTCACTAACACGCTAATGCGAGATAATCCCTAAAGGGAGGGTAGTCTCAAGCAGTTCCTGACAAGTGTGTAATTGGAACCAGGCCCGAAGAAATCCTGAATCGTATGCTCTTGGAACACGAACGTTATTATGGTTTCGGCATGCATGCTCTGGTGATCGTATGCTCTAGGAACACGAACGGAATTATGGTT